TTGCTTCAATTGCCATTTCTCCCTGTTCTAGCTTGTTCTGAAACATTATGGGGATGAGGTCTGCTGCCTGTTTAAACCTTCATCACTACAACACAGTACAGCTTCCACCACTGCAACTGCCAGTCCTGGCCTCCATGTCACTTTTCAGTAGTGTTTCCTTGGGCTGGAAGGCTTCCTCTTCTTTCGGTACTAAGCTCTGCTCCCCTCAGCCCAAATCTACTAGGTTTAGAGGCCTTTTCAACAGCAGTCCAAATTTGCCAGTTCCTTGACCAGCCCAAAGTACATTTGGTTGCATCCTTGCTGCTTCCAGTATACCAACCTAAACAGTGGCATGGATGTGTGCGTGTGTGCGTGCGTGCGTGCTTAGGGCATCACACTGACCAAAGCAGTGTTGTGGTGTTGTGATACAAGCCCTCTTTTTAGATGCATTACAACACTGTATGCATTTCCAGAAGAGGCAGAACTTGCATCACCATGCCATAATGCTGGGGGGGTTTTTTATTCTGATGAAGGTAGCAAGATCCTTCAGATGCCATTGAACATGATTTTGCTGTAGTGATTGTAATCACAGCAGCCCCCCATCTCATGCCCACAGTGAAGTAGCAAAACTAGGCCTCTGGCCTTTTCAATTAACTTCTCTCTGGTATCCCTCTCAGAACAAAACTTTGCAATACTCAGATAATACCATGTCTCTCTTAAATAGGAGGTTTTCCCCTTCCCTCAAAACCCATATTTGCCAAAGAGGGAAGAGGAATATGTCTTCTCCACAGCTCTAAGTTTCAGGGAGGATTTGCATCCAGAAATCAGCACTAAGGGGAAATGTAGAATTATGTTTAACTGCATAATTGTTGATTCTGGATTTTATTGTGATAGTGGTTGAAAATGGGCTTCCAAAATTAGATTGATTATAATTGTGATCTTTAATTTTGGAGATAGATAATGTCTTCATGAGGGAAAAAGGTGAAATAAAACAAAATACTCATAACATTTTGCTGTTATTATGGGATCAAAACACTGACCAGAACCTGCCACGTAGAATAAACTTGGAAAATTTCTTTTTAGATGATTGGGAAACAACTGGCTGCTGCTAAGAGGTTTCCTTCCTGGTCAAAATGACATTGTTATGAGAAAGAAAACATATTAAATTGCAAAGCACTGTTATGAGTCATCAGGAATGAGATTTTACCCACTGTCTGTCAAAGCACACATACAGTTTTGTCACAGTGGGGGGAAAAAAATCAAAGCTATTTTTTTTTCAAAAAGCAAGGTTTTTAAAAAGAAAATATAGTATATAGTACTATATAGTAAATTGTAGAAATTGGTGTAACTTCTATGAACAGTGAATGTTCTATTAAGACAAAGAATTAAATGTGCCCTGTATCCTTAAATACAACCCAAACAACAGACCTTGGACTGAATCCTGAGCAAGTTAGTTAAGTAAGAATCCATTTTAAATCACTGTGAAAAGTTACTTAAGAGTAATTATGATTCAGTTGTCCTAATGCAATATTCTCAGTCCACTATAATATGCAACTAAAGTCCTGTGAAGGAGACATAAATTATTTATTAAGATGCATATACCCATTAAATTACCAGCAGTCGTGTAAAATCATTCTAAGATACCTATATTACTGATATAAACTGAGATTATTCAGCAATAATGATCTTCCTCCAGAAATTCATGAATTCTTGTTCTATGAAAAGACCTAGCAAGTTCCAGTAGACTATCTTCTGATTTTCCTTAGTTCTTGGGTGATAATCAAGGACAAAGCTTTCTGTTCTATTTTATGTCAGTTGGCGATTTGAGGCTAGGCATTCCTCCTTGAGAATTAACAACAGCAGAATTATAATTAAACCCTTTTAGCGTTCTGGAAAGCTGTAAAGAGCTAGCTCTTCTTCCAAGCATTGGGATAACTTAGGAACTGTACTGTTGGATGAACTGAAGAATGCTGGTTAAGGTGCCAAGTTTTGATTTTTATTATTGTTTTATTATTGTTGCAAGCTGCCCAGAGTTGTGTTCCACAAGATTGACAGCCATATAAATCTTTTAATTAATTAAACATCCCGTTTTTGGCCCATTAAAAATGACAATGTGGTGGCAACTTTTGGAGAGGTTTGGGATATCACACCTATTGAATAGATCGTACATGAGATAGCAGGAAACTGTAAAGTCTATGAAGAAACATTTCTTGATAGCAACACAGAAAATAACTGAGTTTATCCATGGCAGCCCATGCAAAAATGAACAAAACAAAATTTGCCTGCATCCACTAGCTCAGTGTTTCTCAAACTTCGTAACTTTAAGATGTGTGGACTTATGGCTGGGGAATTCTGGGAGTTGAAGTCCACACATCTTAAAGTTGCCAAGTTTGAGAAACACTGCAGTAGCTGCAGCAATTCTGCTGAGCAGCAACTTTAACTCCTCCCAGCCTGTTGCTGGAGCCCTGCCTTAAAACAAGATAACCTTAACTCTTCTTATAATACCTAAAGGCAGCCAAAGCTTGGAAAAGCTGCATGGATCTGCTAGGACCTTGTTTATACATCTCTCTCCTAGGGCTGATCTATAGGACCCTAGCACAAGTGTAGGCCACTAACATGTTCTTGAGGCAGGAAGCCATGATGTTGCTTCTATCCATCTCCAACCCACCAGGGAGGCAACCTTGGCCTATCTTTTTCCTCCATGCATCAAAAGTAGTATTTTCAAACCTGTGATCACTCATGTGATACTATGCTTCTCCATCACTGGTTACTACCCTCCACCGCCATTTTATCCTGGTTTGCCACACTGGTAAAACTGGACCTTTTTTAAACACATTCTCACATTCACCAATGGACTAGTGAAAGGTGGAGGTTTAGTTTTGTTTTTCCAATATGTTGTAATACAGTGGTACTTGCTTTTCTTTTCTGGAACCCATCTAGCAGTGCAGTACAAGGGGGAGTCAATGGTAGGGGGCTCATACAAGAAGTCTGTCTACTGTAACCACATGTCCTCCACATGTCCTTCAAGACATGTTCCCCCCTCCCCCACATAGAAAGAAAGTGATTGGTGCTTGCATTCCCAGGGGGAGAGAGAGGATTAAAGAAGCACAGGAATCCACCCATTCAGGGCATGGAAAGTGCAACTTGGACAGAACACCAGGCCATCACTGTGGAGTCTTTCCTTTCCTTTCCTTTCCTTTCCTTTCCTTTCCTTTCCTTTCCTTTCCTTTCCTTTCCTTTCCTTTCCTCCCCTCTCCCTCTCCCTCCCTTTTCTTGCTTTTTTTGTTTTTATCCTATGTTGAGAAGTACAGTGAGCAGGCTGAATAATGTAAATGTGGTTAGGCAAAGGGGTTCTTTTCTGTGTTTTCCCCTCGCACAAGCTTTCCAATGGTTATTATTTTAATACTTTGTGGCTATTCTGAAACTGAAAGCATTAGAAGAACTCTAGAACTCATGGAAAGCTGGGCGACAAGTTCCCAGCAGTTGTGACATGAAAAAGTGGTTGCTAGCTGGCACCCTGGAGGCTACAAAAATGGCTCAGGAGCTGCAGGCCAATGTGAGAATGCTGGTAAATGATGAACTGGGCAGCAAGTGCTGATATGTTGACATATATTCTGATTCATCAAAATTGAAGTCTATTATTCCAAACTCTGGTGAATTCAAAAATGTTTTGGTGTACTCCACACAAGTATATTTAAAAAGCTATAATGTTTTAAGCAATATGTTTGAATGCAAGGTTTACCCTGTGATTCAGAAACTTATTTCACAGCCATAACTTTGCCTTCCCAAGTGCTGCATTTCTTTGTGGAGCCCTTCCCTGAATGGACCTTACAAGGGCATCCACAGGGTGTGGTCAGAAAAGTCAAGTTGGTGGCCACAATGGTCCAATCAAAGCTTCAACTGTTTTTTAATGTGCATCACACCTAAAAAACAGATGAAGCTTTGATTGAACCAGCATGGCCACCATCTTAATTTTTTTTACCATTCCTTCCAGACACCCTTGAGACCTCAGATTATTCAGGTGAAGTTCAAGCAATTAATTTTGTATCAAAATAATGTTAGTTGCCAACATAGCCCTACAATGTAGCATGATCTTTTCAGGATGTTTTATAATTTCTGTATGGCAGTTTGTTTCAGCGATCGGAGTCTTTAGAACTTCAATTCCTGTCCTGCATTTTCCCAGATACTACTTGTTGATATTTATGTCAAATATCCTTAGTTATCCCTGGCTGCAAGATTCCCCTTCACCTATTAATATCTTCCTCTTGATTCTATAGTAGACTTCTCAGGCCTGGCACCTTCCAGATTTGTAAGAACAGAAATATCTAAGGTTCCCATTTAACATGTCTGAGAGCAACAGGTTTGAGAAAGGCATTAGTGAAGGCCATTCTACAGGAAAAATGCCCATTCTTCTTCTCTGTGGTCTCAGCAGGTTGCCTAACTGATCTTGGCTGAGTTGAACCTGCTTAATGCTTGGTTAAGAGACCACCAGAAATCCAAAGCTGTAGACTAGACTGAGAAGTTTAAAAAAAAATATTCAAGACTAAGGCAATAGCAAACCACTTCCATGTTCCTCCCAAGAAAACGACATGGATTTCCTAGCTTTTCTCTTTGCTATGAAATTTGTATTTTATTTTGCTTCAAGGATCCTGTTAAATTCTCTAGCTTCCCATACCATTTGCCTATCCATTTGGAAAAGAGAAGGACAAAGGAATACTGTCTGCCACATAAAGACATACAGGCTTGCAAGTTACAGTATACAAAAAGGGTAAAAACAGTAGATAATCATAAGGAAATCAGTGAGCACTTTAGGGAGGTGGTGGGCTTTCTTTTCCTGGATATGGTCAGGCAAATACTGGATAGCTATCTATCATAATGCTTTAATTTGGATTCCTGCAGGGAAGAAGGATTGGTCTTTTTGGCCTAGGTAGTCACTGGCAAATAATCGGTTCTCTGGGTAGTGTTTAGCTTTGACTTCCTTACAGGGGAAGATCTCAGAAGGAAAACATTGGAGGTGATGATTTTTTCAAAAGCACCAAACAGCGTGGATTTATTTTTAAGAAAGGTATCTCAGACTTCTTCTATATGGAATTACAGACCTTTAAAATCTTTAAAATTTCCCAGGTGCCACTATATAATATTTCAAGAGTGTATTTTATTAATTTCATAGAATACCTCATATAATTATGGGAGATTACAAAGAATATACACATGCAGCAAAATCTAACAGATACAATGTCATCTACAATGATATTTATTAGCATTAATTCTATGAAAATGTGATTGTTATTAAAAGTCAACCGGGTATTGCTTATAATATAATAAGAAGCAATAATATCAGGCTGACCCAAAGCAGATATAATAGAAAGAAATAATATATCAGTACAAACAAGTTGGATGGATAAGTTACTGGTAGTAAGTGGAACATAACATTGGTTTATCAACTGATACAACAATGGTATAGGCAGGTGAATAAAAGGTACTATGGAGGCTGGTGTAAAATGCTAAACGCAACACCTCAACCACGCTCAGGATCTCTGAAAAGATGACATGTGCTAAAGGGTTATTTGTGAAGTTGCCATGCCACAGTTCCACATTGGTATAATTGAAGCCATTACATAAGATACTTTTTTGCTTGTAGAAATTCACTTTTGACAGAGCGTCAGAATCAGGGAAGTTTCTGATGGAAGCTATGCTATCAATAAGATGAATAGCATCTTTGAATTGCTCTTTTGTAGGAGGGAGTCCTTCCACCTGTCTTTCTCTGCGGAAAATGAGCTTTCTTTTGTTTTGGGAATAAGCAAGTGTACAAATCTCTGTCTGAGAAGAATTTGTGTCAGAAGCCATCCATGCACACCCATCCTTGTTGTTCGGTCTACAGGAATCCCACTCGTCTTCTCTCTTGCCTGTATGACAGCGATAAGCTGACCAACCATATCTGGCACATTGATAGTTTTTGTGGCAGGGCAAGCCTGTGGGAGTAACATCTTGGAATGGAGAGCAGTGTTCAGGACCAAAGGCAGTCTCACATTGGAAATATGTTTTGGATACTCGGCAACTTTTCATACACAAGTTGTTTTCCAGTGAATATTCCAAGAAATTCCGCTGCTGTAGCAAGCCACAGTAATGCCATCCTCCACTCCTGAAGTGACAATAGTAATAGGAGCCTCCCCAGAGTTCACAAGCTGTATAACATGTCTGACCAGAAGCAGCCAGGCCTTCTTCTAAGGAACAGTAACCCCATTTGCCATCCTTTTCCTGGCACCAAGTGTACTTATAACCATGATACCCACAAGTACCTTCACATATTCTCCCCGAGCTTGAGTAATGAACAAGTTGGGAGTAGGGGGAAGATATAAAGGAGAAGAATACAATCAGAGCTACAGAAAATTCCATCATGGTCTTCTTGAGTTCCTGAAATGAAAAAAAACAAATTGTTCTGCTAGCTTTGTTTCTATGGTTTTGCTTCACAGCTGTCATACCTTGCTGTCCCGAATTCTGACTCCTCATGGAATCATAATATGCCCTGTAATGTGTTTCTTTCATTAAGGGAAGTCATTAGAAAGTGACATAACCACACCTTCTATCTGATTTTCCAATGTCTTTCCCTGAATTTCACTCTTTTGTGAGTGGCAAACCTTGCATTTCTAGGCCATGGAAATCTGAGGTGTCATTGTAACCAAAAAGTCTCAGAATACTTTTCTAACCTTAGGACTCCCCATATGACTGAAACAAAACTCTTATCATATCTGACTATTAAAGATGGAACTGTAACCCAAATCAACAACATCTAAAGATTTAAAATGCTGTTCCAAAATATTAATGAATGGGTGTTATGACTATGAACCAGCTACATGCAATGTATTACTTGCACTCAGGTATCTTTCTGCTAGTATTTGCTCTTCCCTAGGGGGAAAATAACCTTCAGAGAGGGTGGACAGGAGTTGTACTTATTCTCTAAAACAGCTGGCTGGGGAATTCTGGGAGTTGAAGTCCACCCATCTTAAAGTTCCCAAGATTGAAAAACACTGCTCTAAAATATATATATATGGTAGCTCAGGGAGCTTTTTCCCTTTAACTTTTAAAAATCTTGTTGGTCTGATGGTAGTTCATCTACTATCTCTTTGAAGAGTAGAAGCACCTTTCCTAATACATCTTAAAATGGCTATGAGACCATGCAACATCATACAGAAGAAAGCAAATGGAAAAATGACCTGGCCTGGCCATTTTTCTACAGATTTCAAATTTACAATTTAGTGTGGAACTTTGTTGGCCCAGATATCTGGTTCCCAAAGTAGCCACTTAAACAAAGCTGACCTACACTAGCCTGGTGTTCTTTACTCACCAGTCAAAGTCTATTACTGGTCCCAGAATTAATAGCATAAAGACAAAGAAGATAATTGTACAAATAGTGAAAAACCAATTAAGGGGCAATCAATTACAGCCCCTTAGGGGAAAAGGAAAAAAAAGCTAATTATCTTTCTAGAAAAGACTATGGAATTATCTTGTACTAAAGAGCTTGTCATCAAAAACTTCAAAGATTTTTAAATTACCCCCAAATGTACAGCTACTGGTTGTCATTCAGTAGCAGTTTGGTGGTAGCGATAGATAGAGCGATAGAGAGATAGAGAGATATTGATAGAGTCAGTCACAATCCAGCAAGAATCTATATTTTTGCACCCAACTTGCTTATAATATATAAAATAGGAAAGCTGCACAAATGTATTTATGTACTTGTTTGTTTGTTTACCCACACTTGTATGCTGACTAATGCCTTGCAATTCTAGGTGGTTTATAATATATAAAAACAATGACATACATGAAACACAAAAACCAATTAATGAATAAAACAAAAATATTGCTGCCCTTAGGACATCTTTCTAACTAAATGGCTGTTGAAACAAAACTGCCTTAACCATTTTTTGAAGATCCTCAAGGTAGTGGCACATCTGTCCTCCTAGCATGATCCTGTGAATGCAGTTCTATGCTAAGTCCTTCTCTATGCTAGACTGTGGAGGGTGTGCAGATTCTACTTGGTGAAGTTATAGTAGAAGATCACCCAAACCTTGAATTGGGCCCAAAAGCCTACAGGCAATCAGTGTAGCTCCATCAGCATAGTAGGTATTATCCTACTGAAACACTTAATGCTGGTGAGCAACTGGGCAGCCCCATGTAAAGTCAATTACAGTAGTCTAACTGAGAGATGGCAAACTGGGGACAAAATCATGTTTTCTCAGAGACAAAATAATCTGAGTGCTATAACAATTCAGTTTCTTCACAACACACACACTTCATACCTGGGCTGCCTTCAAAAACTTAATAACTACTAGGTTTTGATCTGGGGGAAGAAATAAAATATCTAAAAAGTCCCTAAGCTTATTTGTAAACTGAGCATGCCTTCACATACTCCATTAGTTAGTGAAGTGGGGCATCAGGATTTACAGCACAAGCAAGAAGGATAAGGAATAGGCTTATATAAAAAACTTACAAACAGAAAAACTCATAAACAGAATCAATAACCCCTCTTTCTTCATCCCAGATGCAATTCTGAAAGCTAGGATAGCTATCATCCATATGTTGGAAATTACATTCTCAGATACATTTCTCCTACTCAGTCCCTCATGTTCTGAGTTTACCCTAAACATTAATATTAAAGAAAGTTAATGGTCTAGTTAAAGTTAATGGTCTAGTGGTTAAGGCACCAGGCTAGAAACCAGGAGACTGTGATTTCTAGTCCCATCTTAGGCATGAAAGGTGGCTGGGTGACTTTGGGCCAGTCACCCGCTCTCAGCCCACGAAGTCAGGCTCGGATGACAAGCTGGATTCCTGTCGCAACCAATGGGTCAACATTCAGTTAATCTGGAAAAAAAAAAGCAGACCCTCCACCTGTGGTAAAAATGCTAGGAAGGAAAAAAAATAACATTAAAGAAAGCTTGTAACTTAAGAAAATACTCACTTTAAAAAGAAAAAGCTTTCTCTGTACTGGGATTGCACTAAATTACAAATGTTTTTATAAATCTTAGCTAATTCCTTCTCATGGTAATATTGAAATGTAGATTGATGTAATCCCAATTTTATAGATGAGGAGATACTGTAAATTGTGTTTGCTCGGTGTCTTCAATTTAACCTGTATCTTCTACATTCAAGTCAAAATGGTCCAAATGTCCATTTTATAATTCGTACCATTCCCTGACCAGTATTCCCATGTAGTCCCCCTGTATTGGTAGCACCCAATATTGTTCAGTGTGTATTAGCCTGATACAAATTCTCCATTCAAATATGTATCTGCATTAATAGATTGGTAGCTGGCAAGCCATACAAATAGACCATACAAATAGCCATACAAATAGACAAATAGGCTTTGTTTTTTTCAGGCAATAAAGTGGTTTCTAGCACTTGACAAACATATTTTAAAATAATATTATCTGTTCATAGAAAGAGGAAAGGTTCCAATATAGGGGCTTTTAAATTTAAATGAGTTAACAACCCTTTTAAAATTCAAATTCACCCGCCCCCAATCTTGGGGGTAAGCATTCAAATTCATAATGGATATTTCCCATCAATTTATGATTTTAGTTTGTTTTAATTTTTGTAGTCTTGGGTTTGTCTGGACAGGGAGATGACGGGAGTCAACTGGAACTGTGTATCCATACATAATTAAGTCCTCTTGACATCAGTTTAGTTCACTTTTGAGTAAAGGGAGTATTGGGGACATTATAGTTTCTAGAATCCACACACACACTTCATAATGGATATTTCCCATCAAAGATATCTCACTGAATACAATGGGTGAGGTGGGGAAGCAGCATTAGAAATAAATTCAGAGCTGTGGGAATAGAATGATTCTAGAAACCATGATGTCCTAAGACTAAAAAAAAAAAAGCAATATATAGTGCTCATTTACAGCTGAGTCCCCAATAATTATTACCTTTACTCAAAAGTAAACTAAACTGATGTCAAGAGGACTTAATTCCAAGTACGGATACTTAGGATCACAGTTCCAGTTGACTCCCATCATCTACCTGTGCAGACAAACCCAAGACTACAAAAATTAAAGTAAACTAAAATCAAATAATCTTCAAAATTAAAAAAAAAAAATCTCACCCATCTCTCACTGAACTTTTAACCAAAATAGTACTTGGACATGAGCACAAATAATGGAACATGAAATGTTCTTCTGCCCCGGTTTTATTAATTCTTTGCAACCAAATTACTGAATTCAGAGAACTTTACACCAGGGATTTCAGTTACTTACTCCTTTTTCCAATAAAGCACTCCTTGTTCTCTCACTCTGTCCCTTGCTCTGCGTCTCCCCTGAAACCTCAGGAGCAATGAGGGGTGAATATGCTTTTTGCTCTTTATACGCTGACGAAAGTCTTCCTGTTTTAAAGCTAGGGGAGAAAAGGGAGGGGGGAGAGAAGTGAAAAATGAAAGGATCTTTTTCCCTCTATTCTGCTTATTTCAATATCAAAATGCAATTCGGCTCACTGAGGGGGAAAACGAAACTTATTTTGAACGGAAGGCAAGTATGGAGAGAGATCAGGGAAGTCAGCTATGGCTATAATCGTGAACATCCATACTTCTAAATCAATCTCACTGTCATTGCTGTTGGATATCCCAACCAATTTACTTCTCCTCCCCTTAGATTGAAACACAGTGATCAGATTTCCATCTGATACCTGACATTTGATGTCAGACCTAATTTAGTGAAAAGTGGTCCTTGAGATGAATAGCTGTCAAAAACAAACTAATTCAGATTTTCTTAGATCTGACTCCACATACCTATACTCTTCTTTTTATGGATGGATCGTGCCATTTTGGCTCACTGTGGAGCCACACAGAGTGAATTCAGGATTGGGACTGTATATAATGACTGCACCCTCATTTTGTGTGGCACATGAAGATGAAATGGTATATCCTATAGCTTTGATGCCAAATGCAATAGTTTCATTTATTTTATTTTTTTATTTATTTAAGCAATTTATATGACTTATTTATCTTCTTTATTTATTTAAGCAATTTATATGGCTGCCCAACTCACTCATGGTGACTCCGGGTGGCTTACAGGAATAAAAATCCCAAATACAAAACCCACTATAACCTCCCAATCCCTTGGCAACAACAACACATTTACACTAGCCATTTGATGGGCTCCATATCGACTTGGGATCCCCAGGCCCACTGGCAAAACCATGTCTTCAGGGCCTTGTGGTAAAGCATCAAGGTGGGGGCCAGTCTTATCTCTGCGGGGAAGATGCTGCACAGGGAGGGAGCCACCACAGAGAAGGCCAATCTTCTCAGTCCTACTAGATGGACCTCCTTAATAGGCGGGAGCCATAATATACCCTGCCTCCCCGATCTGGCGGGTGAAACTGGGAAAGGCGGTCCTTCAAATAACCTGGCCCCCAAGCCATGTAGGGCTTTAAAGGTGATAACTGGCACCTTGAATTGGACCTGGAAGCAAATCAGCAGCCAATGCAGCTCCCACAAGAGAGGTGACATGTATGCAAATCTAGACTTGCACAAAACTATGCAGGCCACTGCATTCTGAACCAACTGAAGCTTCTGGATGCTTTTCAAGGGCAGCCCCATGTAGAGTGCACTATAGTACTCAAGACAAGAGGTGACTAGGGCGTGCGTGACTGTGAACAGGGCCTGTTGGTCCAGGAAAGGGCATAACTGGCGCACAACCCACAGTTGTGCAAAGGCCCTTCTGGCTATGACTGCTACCTGCTCCTCAAGCAGGAGTCGCGAGTCCAGGAAAAACCCCAGATTACTTACTGGCTCCGTGCCATGGAAGAGGTTGTTCTTTATTGTTAAACCAGTCTTACAGCTTTTCCTTCTCTGGTCTTAAACTAGTTGACTCACTTGCATAAACTGGCTAGAAGTGAAGCCAGTTTAAGAAATTCCTGCTTTTCACTTGGGCTGGAAAGGGGAAAGAACATTTTTCAGTCAAAAGGTAGACTGGGAAGAAAAAAGATTCCATGGGTCAAGGGCTGTTCAGAGGTCCAGCAGCCCAGGACAAAATGGGCCTGGAAACCAGTAACTGGTGATCAGAGGGGTTTCCTATGATGAAATAAATGCAGCAGGTGAGGCACTTGTGCCAGAACAAGTTGGAAAATAATACTTTTGATGTGTAGCAGGAAAACATGCTAGATGTTGTCTTCCTTGTACACTGAGGACAGGTAGAGGAAGACTTGATGTGGGGCAACTTCCCTTGAGAATTGGTTAGTGGCCCTTCCTCATGGAATCATAGCACCATAGAATTGAATAGGATCTTGGAAGTAATCTAGTCCACCTCCCTGTTTACTGCAGGATCTACTAGAACATTTCTGATAGATGACCATCTAGCCTCTGTTTGAAGACCTCCAGAGAAGGAATACTCACCATTTCATGGGCCAGCCTGCTTACACTGGGACAAGCTGGCCATGTAGAGAGGGATGCATGAAAAAGGTTCTTGCATAGGATGAAACTCCTCCAAGCTTTGGATGTTCTTATATAGTGTAAGAAGGTGATGCTGATTTAAAGCAGGCTCCAACCTGTTGATAGTTACAGGCTGGGAGAAGTTAAAGCTGTTGCTTAGCAGAGCTTCTGTATCTATTGGAAAGTTTGTTTTGTTCCTTTTTGTATTGGTTGTCACAGATAAGGTCTGTTATTCTCCATGTTGCTACCCACAAATGTTGGTTCCATGTTGCACATAAAAACCAGGTGGAGCTTCAATTGCATTTCCATGGCCACCATCTTGACTGTTTTACTGTTCTCTGATCACTCATGAGGTGTGACATCTATAACCCCTTTATTTAAAAGTTGCCCCCCAGAAGTGGGAAGTTATTAAATATATGGGAAGCAAACATATTAAGTATAATTAATTTCATTTCAATTCCATTTAACAAAAATTAAACCACTTCTAACTTTTTTCCTATTTTCAACTCAGCAAAGGCCATGCATGATCCTTGGCCTGGAAAAGGTGGTGCACTTCTAATCTGTTATTTTGGGGCTTGTATAAACATGGGTTTATACAAGTTGCAGAAAAACAAGGAACTTGTTTCCTGGGAAATCATATGATGAGCTAAAAATTATGAAATATACAAAATCCCTGGAAGAAAACGGTGACATTCTGTTTAAGAAATGTATGTAGTTCTCCTGGCACATGCTTTGCAGCCTGCCTTGTTTTTCATTTTGTTGACATCCTTTTGCAATGACATGAGGATTAAAAAAAAAGTTTATTTTACAGTGTTTAGAAACACAATCTGTTATGTTTGTCCAAAACAAAAGAAAAACAGTAGAGTCTCCTTAGAACTGAACTTAAATCCTAATGACTCCTGGATGCATCCATATATATTGCCCAGAGTTACCCATTGGGGGAGATGGGTGGCATACAAATTAATTAATTAATTAATTAAATATCCATTATAGCTATATAGTTCTTTTGGCCACCATACAGAAGTAGTTTGCCATTGTCTTCTGGGTTTTTTGTCAACTTTCCAGTCCAACGTACAGACTTTGGATTTCATAATGGTCTCCTATCTGAGTTTTAAACAGAACTGATCCAACTTTCAGAGATCGGACAAGGTGAACATGGTGATGCCATTCAACTAGTTTCACTGACCTCACCTTGGGAATGTTGGCACACTATATAGGTGCCAACTGCATCTCATCCCCAGTCCATGAATAAGTAAGACCAGCTTAAGTTAACCTTAAGTGTTCTGTTTTAAAGTTGTGTTTTCCTTCTTAAGCAAGCAACAACGCACAACAATTTCCAGATGTGTAAAATCTGACACACTTTGCAGACTATTCAGTTTATGGCACAGTTGGGTGACCTGCAGGGATGCAGGTGCAGATAGACCATTCAGACAGGTTTTAGAGTCCTTCAAAAGTGCCTAGTTTTCAAAGAGCACTAAATTCTCTGACAAAGCAAGCTGGCCCAACAACTAACTTCAGGAATAGTAAAGCTAGCGCTAGCCTATCTGGGCTGCAAAAATGAAGATAATCAACCACTAGATGGAAGAAAAGAGTGATTGAGGCAGCAATGGTTGTTTCTGTTTTTTTCCAGACAAAGTGGGGACAAGTGTGTGTGCGTATAAGATCAGCGGTGACATCTGTGAGGGGAAGGGGGACAAAAAAATCAAGTTGGCAACTGTGCAACTAAAGCCCATCCCTTTTTTACATGTGTGTATGTGTGTGTGTTTACAGACAGACACTATTAACATTTATTTCAAGGAATCTTTGCCAATATACTACAAATCACCCTATTATCTTCCAGCAATACCCACCTGGTGTAACTGATAAAGCCTCTGTTCAACTTCCTCCTCCAAAGCTATAGCCAATTATATCAGTGGTTTTATTCATGTGATCAAAGCAGCATGTGAGGTGCCCCCAGGGTTTGAGTTATGGCAAGCAGACATAAGAAATATGGCCTTTTTAGCTGTGGATCCATATTTGCAAAATTCTCTCCACTCAGTTTGAGTTTTATCTTGCTGGGTCCCCCAAGGCATCCACAAAACCAGTGGTCTGAGGCTTCTCTTTCTATGCCTACAGTCTGTCTAGGGTTTTTTGGAAAGATGGAAGGGGAGGACAGAACTTTGTCTGTATATATTCAAAAATATTTGATCTTAGCCTGATTAATCCATTCCTTTGGAAGCTCTTTTTTTTTTTATTGGATTAGCAGGACAATCGATATGGCTGATCAGTGGGTGAGGCCAGAATCCATGGGGTAGTTCAGGAATTTAAAAAAAAACAATAGGGTGGCCCCCACCTAGAAGATTAATTTTCAGAGGAGGAGGAGGAAGCAAGAAGGCATTGAAGATTAATGAGGACAGGACCCAATTTTCTAGGACTGACTCATAACTTGGATCCTGTTTGCATCCCATCTTCACTCATTTCTTGAACTCTTTGGTATATGGAATTTCTTAGACATTTTGGCTGACTTTCAGGGTGTTGGTAAACCCTGTTTCTGCTTCATTCCCAGACTAGTTGTTACCTAACAGCCAAGCATATGATCTTGTCAAATCTCAAAAGCATGCAACAAAAGAAGAAAGGCTGAAAGGCCTCTACCCTGAGCTGTATTTTCTACATTCCTGAATTGGCAGAACAGATAATTGATTATCAGTAAATACCAGTTATCTATGATTCAGTCTCATATTGTATCAGAGCAGTATGTGTTCCAATTTAGAATAAAGGACATTGGACCCAGCCACAAGCCATCAACAACCAAATTTGGATATATTATATCAAATATAGGAATGCATGGATTCCAAAATCCTTTTATACAAGTAAATTTTATAGTGACAAAATTGAAAAATAAGACCCTTAATGCATCTCTAGAATAAACAGGAAAGTATTTTTACTATAACAAACACATTTCAACTACATTTTTTCAATGATCTTGCAA